CACCATGACTTGTTCTTGCTGGGACGTTGGCGGCTCCTGTTCCTGTGATGCTAACCACCGTTGCAAGTTGGGTGAAGCATATTGAAATGAACTGAGATACTGTGGTACTAAGAGTGCCGATGCATTACTTGCTACCTGGGTGGTGCTAGTGATTTTCGCTTGAGTGCCCAGCATTATTGGCTCTTCGGGCATGTTTTGCGCGAGATTTTGTGGGGGGATCTCCAATTCTGTTGCCGAATTTTTTTGCATAATTCGATTCAGGTAAGCAACAAAGTTGGCAATATTTTGTTCGAACTGCTCGTCGTTTATTTTCAGCGCACCTCGATCAAACTCAATTTGCAGTATTTGTTGCAGTTGAAGGAGGTATGCAGTGATGTACTGCACGCTCGACATATCTGCAGTTTCATCGGCAACATTCATTTGCGTACAAACATCCATGGATTTCAAACATTTTTTATCATTTTCCCAGAATGTCCCGGTGCTTCTGGGAGGTGGTAATATGTTTTGTGGGAAATCGTCGTTCGCAGAAGTTGATATCAAGGGCTGGAGATCTCCAGTCTGTACAGAAGTATTTCTGTGTTCCTCATGCCTCCCGGTCTGTAGTATTACTGATCCGTTCTCATCCCACGAAATTCCCAGATCTCTTACTTCACTTTTCGACATTCTACTATTCGTTTGACATAAAGTATCTGCGCAAATTTTTTCCTTCCCATTGTAAGCATCCTTTGCCCTACTGAAATTTCCCACATCCTCCGAGTTATAATATGTTCCCATAATCCCTGAGTTAAGCCCATTCTGAGACACCAAATCTTCGCTTCTTACAGTAACTGCCGGTAAATCAGCAGAGCATTCCGAAAGAAAATTGGCACTTGTCGTCGGATTTTCAACTTTGAAAAAAAGACCAGCAATAGTCGTTTCGGTATCACTCCCCGTTGCTTTCCATTCGACTTGTTTTGAAGTTTCCGGAAAAAAAGCGGAATCGCGCGTCATAATAAGGGAGTTTCCAGCTTGACAAGCGAAATCCGCATTAGAAGCAGAACTTTTGATTTCACATTTGCATGATTCAAACTGTTTAGTTTTTGGGAAATCATGAGACCTGTCAAGCATCACCGGCTGTTTTTCAGCCTGACATAGGAAATCTGTTGAAAGAGCTGACTCTTCAGTTTCACATGCTCTTGATTCAAACTGCTTCGGAGTTTCCGGAAACCAAACGGCTTCACTTATCATCATACTGTAATTATCAGCTTGGCAAGCGAAATCCGCTAAGGAAGCAAACCTTTCGGTTTCACACGCTTTTGACTCAAAATGTCTCAATGTTTCTGGAAAACACGTAGATTTATCATTCATCAGAGAAAAACTTTCAGTCTGAGAAGCAGATTCCGTCAAAGCGGCACATTCTTCGGATCCGCATGCTTTGGACCCGAATTGTCTGGAGGTTTCTGGGAAGCTGACAGATTCATCAATCACAAAATTATGATATTCAGTCTGGCAATAATTCGTAGTACTATCAGGCCATTCAGTACCACACTTTCGCGATTCAAATTGCTTCGATTTTTCCGAAAAACCACAAGACTTGTCAATCATTACCGACTGATTTTCAGTCTGGCATTCACAATCCAATAAAATAGCAATTCCTACAGTCTCACATGCTCTTGATTCAGATTGCTTTGGAAACTCCGGGAAACAAACGGACTTATCAATCAACGCAGGCTGATATCCAACTTGGCAAGCAAAATCCATGGAGTCCAAAAACCATCCATTTCCAGTAGCTTCCATTCCACACTGCGTCATTCGCTCCGGAGGTAGAATAGATTCAGTGGGCAGCATCGAAATCTCAGTTTTTCTCTGACAGTTCAAATTTATCCTAACTTTTCCTTCAGCCTCATTTGCATCTTTTAAAGACGACTCTGACCGCGTCAATCTTCCTTCATCATTAGTTGCCAGATTGCAAACCTCATTTTTAGGGTTTACTTTGCGACATTGACATGCTCTAAATTCTTCTTTGTCTGTAGTAGTTGCAGCTTCCATTGTCTTTACCCCCCTTTCCACTTGGACGGAAGCATCAACAAGAATTCCTCTTTCGAAACCTGTGAATGATTCTGGATCTAATGCCATCGATTGCGCCGTCAAGTCCTCCAGCTGCACGGAATAATGGATTGGATTTTCGCTTCCGGAATCAACGAACGTCCCGGGATCCATCGTTGTTGAAGTTTCTGCTGTTTGCACCAAATCAACAGTCTGGACCGGACAGTCAGCAAAAATTCGTCCGCTGGATGCAAGTAACGGTAGCAGCTTTTCATGGATGTCAGAACTGTATTCTTGTAATTTTTCGCTGAGCTCGCCCAATTTGTTTACACCACCAAGGTGCTCCTCACACTGCAACAATAATATCATCTTAATCGTACAGAATCCAGAAGCAAGTAATCCGCAGCATGACAATTAGCACACCTGACAACTCATCAACCCGGAATCTCTAGGATACGCTCAACACTACCTGGACAAATAGTCTGCAAAGTCTTTTGATGTTTTTAATGTCAGCCATAATAGGACAATTTTATAATTCTATGACCGCTCCCCGCTCCTCTGTCTTCTCCCTTCACGCCGGCCCTCCTTCTATTTAATACAAATCCGAAAATAACCTGCAAATCCTTAGATGCTTTTTTGTGAAATTCCTTCGAATTCAGACAAAAGATGGAGAGAAAGAATGACCAATTGGTACCCACGGTATGTTACAAGAACAACTGGGAGGTCACTAATGCACCTGGGGCGATCTTATAACTCGAATGCGGATAGCCCAAAACTGAAATCAATGGCGTGGCTATAGCATGGAGGCAGAAACTCACGCTCTTCTTTGAGAGTTTTGGTATAAAAGCAATAACTTTCAAAAACAGCGTCAGTCCATTGTAAAACCAAAGAAATGTTGCCGTTTGTAGAAGTGTTACACAGGTGCTTTTACCTTTCAAAATAAGCAAATATGGAAATTTTAACTTTCAGCTAAGTTTTGAGTAATCTGTAAACGAAGATCCGGTAAAATTTGTTCCGTAAAAAAAATCTGCAACCCTGCAAAACTCGGCTCTCAAGTCAAGTACTGCAAGATTGGGGCACTACAGAATTTTTCAACTTCTGCTTGGTTTACTGTGAGGCGCTGCTGTACAACAACATATACAAAAATTTCAA